AGTTGGGGCTACGGTAGTGACGTGGTGTAACTATAGTTTTTGGACATATCTCTTGTATTTCTTTTGTTTTCTTGAGCTTAGAGTTGAGATTAGTTTATGTATTTATTTTTTTTTTATGATTTTAGTAGTGGGATAATTTGGCATGGTTTGTAACTATACATTGTTTAAGTTTATTTTGACTATTTATTTTTACCTTGATGTTGAGGTATTGGTTAGTTATGAATTTATGGTGGATGGTTTGGTTTGGCATTAGTTTTTTTGTTTCACCCCTAGGATTTGGATGATAGAATATTGATTGGGGTTAGTCCTAATATAATATTTAATTGTCCGAATTTTAGGGCGTGACACCGACTAAGTTGGAAAATACACAGAGAAGCTTCACCCCTGAGTACCGCTGCACTTACCATGACGAGCGAGGGCACTACACAGAAGATTGTGTGCCTTTGAAGCAACATTTGGAAGAGTTAACAGTAACTAGACACTTGGACCGTTATATCGACGAACGCATCAAAGCCGTGCCTTAAAATCAAGCTGAACCAAATGGCTTGGCCGTCTTGGATGCTCCTCTCCAAGGCGTCATCAATGTGATTCATGGGATCATCGAGCCAATGCAGGTATGCGAGCTCAAGGAATGATAAAAAAGGCAGAGCACATGAGGGAGGTACTATCCGTCCAGCCAGCAATAAAGAGAAGGAAGACTGAGGTGAAAGATGATGTTGCTTTCTCTAACAAGGATTTGGAGCGAATTCAGACTCCACACAATAACGCACTGGTGGTCACTCTATGCATCAAAGAGTTCGACGTCAAATGCATTTTGATCGACCAAGGCATCTCAGTCAAGACAATGTACTATAACGCCTTCAAGCAGCTCAAGCTGGAAGACAAAGACTTAGCACCAGCAACCTCACCTCTGGTCAACTTCAATTCACAACTAGAGTGGCCGGTTGGGAAGATCGTTCTATCGATAAAAACGGAGAGATTGTTAAGTAAGTGAAGTTTTGGGTATTGAAGGTGCCTTCCACTTACAGCTTGATTGTGGGCAAGCAAGCAGTGGTGTCAACTTACCACCAGGTGATGAGGTTCCCTTCCGCCACCGGGATGATAAAAGAAGTATGGGGTGATCAAGTCATGGCCAAGCAATGTGTCGTGGCCATAAACGGAAGCCGAGCTACCAAAGGCTTCGTACAGATGATCGAAGGACTGAAAGATCAAAGTGTCCTAGACGATGTGCGTAAGAGAGCTGAAGAAAAGGCTGTCGAGGACTTAGTGGAGGTAAGGATCAATGAGAGTGATCTAGAGAAGTTCTTTCTGCTAGAATCAACCCTAACTGCCCAAGAACGACTGGAGATAGTGAATTTCTTGGTGGCAAACATCGCAAATGCATGGCGTCGATCCAAACTTCGTTTGTCACCAACTCAATATTTTCTCTAATGCCCGGCCAGTCATTCAAAGAACATGGAGATCAGCGCTTCATCATGCCGAAGTGGTGGCTGAAGAAGTGAAGAATTTGCTAGAAGCTAGAACAATCTAGAAAGTGCACTACCCTCGGTGGATCTCTAACATTGTCGTCATGCCGAAGAAGAATGGGAAATAGCGAGTTTGTGTCGACTATAAAACAATCAACCGAGCCTGCCCTAAAGATAGCTTTCCCTTGCCTCAAATCGACTAACTGGTAGACCTCACCGCTGGGCACAATAGGCTGAGTTTCTTGGATGCCTACCGCGACTACCACCAAATTGCCATGTATGAGCCCGACCAAGAAGTTACTTCTTTCACAATCCCAAGGGGGTTGTTCTGCTATAGGGTCATGTCATTCGGATTGAAGAACGCTAGCGCCACCTTCCAGCGAATGATAACCAAAATGTTCGCCCCCTTATTAGGCCGGATAATGGAAGCATACATCGACAACATGGTCGTCAAAAGCAAATGTGAGGTTGATCACCTAACCGATCTAGCTGAAATGTTTACCATTCTCAAATGACACAAGTTGTGTCTCAATGCGGCAAAGTGTGCCTTTGGAGTAGGGTCTGGAAAGTTCTTGGGTTTCTTGGTCACCAACAGAGGAATTGAAGCAGACCCATCACAAATCAAGGCCATACAACAGCTAAAGCGGCCAAACTTAGCGAAGGACGTGCAACATCTTGCTAAGATAACAGTCACGCTTAGTAGATTTATTAGCCGGTCATCAAATCGTTGCCGCCCTTTCTTCTAAACTTTAAAGTTAAAGTTCTCGTGGGACGAAGAATGTGACAGAGCATTGGCCGCACTCAAAACATACTTGTCATCTGCCCTACTCCTCGTTACACCGAAGCAAGATAAGGAACTCTACCTCTACTTGGCTATCTTCCAGCATGCTATCAGTGCGGTGCTCATCAGGGCATAAGGCATCCAGCACCTCCCAATCTTTTATGTGAGCAAAAACTTGCTCCCCATGGAGTCAAGATACTTGCCACTGGAGAAGCTCACACTAGCATTGATAATGGCCTCCAAGAAGTTAGCACATTATTTTCATGCACATACGATCATTATGCTAACGAAATTTCCATTGAAAGCCTTGTTCAAGCGAGCAGACTTCTCTGGCCACATCTTGAAGTAGGCAGTCGAATTGGGGCAATTCGACATCAGGTTTCACCTAGAACCGCCATCAAAGCACAAGCATTGGCTGACTTCGTTGCAGAATACTCACCAGGAGCTCAACCTATTTGCCTAGTGGATCTTACTGATGCAACCAAACAAAGAGGGGTAGGCATTGCGGCAATAGCACGACCAACTTCCACTCCAGTCTGCTTCAGCCCTCCTAACGAGACAAACATGGAAGGCGACACAAAAATTGCACGCCAGGACATAAGTCCATCACTTGAAGGACAACCACAACCTAACAATGCATTGGTTGGTTCTGAGACAACCGGACATTTTATAGCGATCCTGGTTTTACCCCGACCTTTATTGTGCTCCGAACTCGGAACACCACATCACAAAAGGGAGAAGAAGCTGTGCAAGATACAATTAACAATGGCGCTCTTGAAGCAAAGATAGCTGAGTAGCCAAGCAACCCAGGAACAGAACGCTTGGTCCTTCAAAAAATATCAAAACCCTGCTAAATGTTGGAAGCTTTTTATCGGCGAAATGTGAAAACTTTTCGTTGATGGCACTTCAAACAGACATGGTACCGGGTTAGGCGTAGTTTTGATCTCACCAGATGGATTGGCCATCGAACATTCCATCACACTTGGGTTCCTTGCGTCAAACAATGAAGAGGAGTACGAAGCGTTGTTAGCCGGTCTAAAAAGTGCACTCCAAGTGAAAACATATAAGCTGATGGTTTACAGCGACTCTCAACTCGTTGTAAACTAAGTATCCGGAGAATACGAAGCCAATGATGACATAATGGCCAAATACCAAACTCTGGTGAGAGAGCAACTCAAGAAATTTCAAGCCATAAGTGTTGAACAAATCGGCCGAGAAGGGAACAGCCGGGCAGATGAGTTGACCGGTTTAGCTTCCATGGCCAACAAGACAACACCTAGCCCTCACCTGATTGAATTTGTTCCAAGACCTAGCATTAAAAAACCAGAGAAGGAAGAAGTTCTCTGCATCGAGCTAGGTCCTTCCTGGATAGACTCCATCATTCTTTTTTTGAAAGAAAGAATTCTGCCGACCGACAAGAAAGAAGCAAACAAAATCCGGGTAAAGTTTGAGCAGTTTTGGCTCTCTCTATCTGGTGCCTTGTATAAGAAATCCTTCAGCGGTCCATACTTGAAGTGTGTCCATCCAAGCAGAGTTAACGCTTTTCTTTTTGAGATCCATGAAGGGATGTGTGGAAGTCATATCGGTAGAAGATCTCTAGCCTACTGCGCTATCTCCCAAGGATACTGGTGGCCATGCTTGCAAGCCAACACACAGAAGTATGTAAGAAAATACGAGAATTGCCAAAAATTCGCTCATCAAATTCATCAACCGACCAGAGAACTTTTTTCTCTCACAAGTCCTTAGCCGTTCGCAATGTAGGGGCTAGACATAGTGGGACCACTCCCAACCGCCCCAAGCAACCACAAGTTCTTTATAGCCGTGACGGATTACTTCACCGAATGGGTCGAAGCTGAACCTTTGTCGACGATCAAAGAAAAAGATATGAATAAATTTGTCTGCCAGAATATGGTGACACGATTCAGAGTCCCCAAAGCACTGATTTTGGATAACGGCACCCAATTTGATAGAAGGTTGTTCAGAGGATTCTGTAAGAAACTGAAGATAGAATTCTTCAATTCAACACCAGCTTATCCTCAGTCGAATAGCCAAGCCGAACCGTCAAACAAGACCATTCTAGATAGGTTGAAGAAAATGCTAGAGAAAGCCAAAAGAAAATGGACTGAGGAACTCCTTAATGTCCTCTGGGCTTACTGAACAACGCCGGGGCGCTCAATGGGGGAGACACCTTTCACTCTAGTTTATGGTATGGAGGCTGTCATCCCACTTGAGATCAACATGCCAGCCATCAAAAGTGAAAATTTTGAGTCAGACTTAAACGCGGAAGCAATTGCTTTGGAGTTGGATCTTGCAAAAAAGCGGAGAGAAACTGTACTAATCCACGGCATACCAACAAGAATTGTCCAAGAAGTATAACAAAATAGTTCACCCCAGGCAATTCAAAGTTGGGGACTGGGTTTTCCAAAAAGTAATGGATAACACTCTGGTACCAGGTGAAGGAAAGCTAGGGGCAAATTGGGAAGGGCCTTACAAGGTAACCGGTCTGGCAAGCAAAGGGATATACTACCTTGAAGATCTCAACGGCCAAGTCATACCATGGCCATAGAACACGGCAAATTTGAAGTTCTATTATTTCTAGTTCGAGCTTTCGATGTACACCTCCTGATTTTGTGATGTAATTTTCCATACTTGTTAGAAATCTATGATATCTATATGTAATGGAAATGGAAGTTACTTTACTAAGAGAATTGTTATATTGTTTCTTGCTTTTTAATTGGATTGCCATGAACAAGAGGCGCGTTGAAATGAGTTGATGATTTGTTCAACTTCGTCCTTATAGCCGAGATGATCTTGCTCGACTAAATGAGTTGATGATTTGTTCAACTCCATTCTTATAGCCAAGATGATTTTGCCTAGCTAAAGGATTTGATGATTTGTTCAATTCCATCATTACAGTTGAGATGATCTTGCCCGTTTAAATGAGTTGATGATTTGTTCAACTCCATTCTTATAGCCGAGATGATTTTGCCTGGCTAAAGGAGTTAATGATTTGTTCAACACCGTCTTCATAGTCGAGATGATTTTGCTTGGCCAAATGAGTGATTGGTTCAACTCTCTTCTAATAGCCGAGATGATTTTATCCAGCTAAGAAGGTTAATGTTTTGGTTATATTGTGGTAATGTTGCACGCAATTTTCATTCATTAGAAGTTTAGTACAGAAGTTGGGGCAGGTAGCCTGGTTATAAAAAGTTCAAATGAAAAAACAAGAAAAGCAAAACTAAACTAGAGGAGACAGTTCATCAAACTCATCGCTAGCTCCAGCCGCTGTTGCTTCCAAGTCGACCGCGGCAGCCCTTTCTTCAACACTGCGCTTAGGCTGGGCGACCTCCTCTTGCTATGCCATATAAACTTCCTTATCCACGCCGCCTTCTTCTTGAGTGCCCTTGCTTTCTTCCTCGGCCTCCTCATCGCCAGACTCATCCTCGATCAAGTTGTTGAACACTTCTTGGGCGTAGGGGACCATGTAGCCCAGCAAGAAATGGGTAGGAAGGTTGGCAAATATTTCAGTCGTGGACCCTTGACTGAGCTTCTCACAAGCAGCCTTCCAACCGGACTAGAAGAAGATGTCCTTGGTGGCCTCGACCTACTTGGTATAGCTCTCTTCGGCCTCCTTGAAGCCTTTGAGCCCGACATCTTTCACGACTTCAGACTTCTCAACCTTCACCTTCTCCAACTCGGCCTGAAGAGAATCCCTCTCTTACTCGGCACTTCTTAGTTGGGCAAGGAGTTTGGCGTTGTCAGCATTGGCAATCTCAAGGGAAGTCATAGCTCGGCCTAACTCGGCCGAGATGTTCTTGCTAGCAGCATTCAGGTCAGTCACTTTTTGCCGCAGCTTGAGAACGCGATCCATGATGAGGTAAGACTTCTACATAGTCTGCAAGAAATCAGAGGAAAGTTAGTCCGAGCAAAAGTCAAACCGAGCAAAGACTTAGCGAAATTCTGAGTCATACCCTTGTTATTGACTTCACTGCCGACTTGACCATCCTTGTATCCGGCACGTGATCTTGACCGACCATGTCACCAGGCAGCAAGAGTGATTTTGTCAAATCAAAGGCAAGAAGCTTCTCTTTGTCTTCGATGATGGATGTTGTTACCGGGATATCTTTTTCCCGGTGTTTTAGTTTCGACTCCCAAGTAGGTATGGGCTCAACCTCAGCAACTTGCTCGGTGTGCAACTCCGCAACAAGCTTGGCTGACGGGTCCGCTGTATGTGGCCTCTTGCCAGCCCGACACGACTCAACGTTCAAAGGAGCGACTATTGAAGCCAAAGCAATCACGGTCCCCGAACTCTGACTGGCAGTTGGCACAAGATGTAGGTTGCTCGGTAGTTCAGCAGAAGTAGCAGTGAAGAGATTCTTGATCCGGCTTCTTTTTGCCATCTCTTTTTCCTCAGTTAGGCGAATGAGAGGAACATGTGGGAGTGTTGGGTCGGGTGGAGGAGCAGGCGCTCGAAAGAAATCGGTAACCTTGCCCTTCTGCTTTGCTGAATAGCGGTAGCTTGACATGTAACTGAGAAGCTCGTGGCAATCTCGGTGCTTATATCTTAGCATGACCAGAGTTGTTTGGTTTTTTTGATTTTGTGAAAGAAAAAGTGTAATAATTGTGATTTGAATATGACATTTTGTCTTATTAGCTTAGGTAACCTATTTTGAACTTTTGTGTTTTTTTAGCTCCAAACTCCAAAATAAAAACCAAACGAGAACTGAATTTACGGTGGATCTTTAATAGGTGTGAATTCTATTTGATAGGATCCCTTAATTTTTTTAATGAGATTAAACTATATTAACTAAAACATTGATAGTATAAATACATCTTTTATGAAGAATTTTGATAGCTTGATGGGCCATAGATGATGGAACCTATCACCTCCCATGTGAAATCGCCCGGTGTGAGGTTTCATTTGTTGAATGACACAGAGGTGCTAGTTTTTACACTTCTTTTATTTTGCAAACACACTCTGTTTGGAATATAATCAATCCTTCAATGTGAAAAACATCTATTTGGTTTAAAATTTTTAAAAATAGTTTTTGAAAATTTTAATTCGTATTTTTTTTAATATTTAAATTTTTTTATAAATTTTTTAGATCCACTTAATCTAAATACATTTAAAAAGTACAAAAATTTGTAAAAAATTTATTGAATATAAAAACAAATACGAAAATATATTGAATTTTTATATTTTTTTGTATTCAATGAATTTTTTTAAAAAAATTATATAGTTTTTATACTTTTTAAGTGTATTTTAAATGGATGTAAAAATTAAAAAATAATTAAAATATTTTAAAAAAATAAAAATAGTTTATATTTTATTCATATTTTTTTCACATTTTTATTTTTTCTTTTTAAATTCTTATTCAAATTATCAGTACCAACATACGATTTTCTATCCCTAAAACAAAAATATATGATTGTTTTCAGGAAAATTGCTCTTTCATATCTGTGCTATTCAAATTGGTGTCTACAGAGTGAACACACATCTAACCAACTAAAAATTATAAACACAACATTCAGCAAGAACAACAACAACAACAAATTATGAAGTACGGAAAATTGACCACCCATAAAAAATGGAGCAACGCTCTATAAAACTATAAACCTGCATGTATAATATATACACCTCACTATATAATACGATATATTATGATAATAATAAATAAAATAAAATAGAAGAGATAAGCTAATCCAAGGCAGGAAAACTTATTCATTTATATGCATGTATATTAATTTTCTAAAATGAATCAAACATTATACAAATATATATTTAAATTGCGTTTGGATCATAAATTTAAGTAAGAATTTAGAAAAAAAAAATTTAATGAGATAAATGTGAATGAAAAGTTAAATTTTCTTTATTTCTCTTTTTATTTTCAAATCTCTCTTTAAATTCATAATTCTAATATAGAGGTTGAGGAATTTACAAGAGATAAATTAAGGAAAACGAGAAGTACCTGGAAGCAAATTAACTTGAAACACAGAGAGAGAGAGAGAGAGAGAGAGAGAGAGAGAGAGAGGGGGAGGACTTGTAAGGAAGGGAAGGGAGGAAGCTTGCTTGACAATAGTAGAAGAGAATAATAAGTGAGCTTCCAACCACAGAGAAAAGAGTGAGGAAGCTTACTTGACAAATAAGAGAATAATTCATATAAAAAAATTAAAAAATCTTTTTTATTCACTTTACATTTGTATATATATATTTTTTGCAAAAATTAAAAAAATTCTTTTCAAATATATTAATTTTTTTTACTTTATATTTTAATAAAAAGTCATTTTTCAAACGGCTTCAAAAATTGAAGGATCCATTTGATTTAATTTTACAATTATGATTTGAATGTAAAATTATAATTTAAATATAGAGTTGTGAGTTGAGTTTTGAAAAGTGTTCTCACTTTTGCCTTTTCTTTTCATTTGGTTGATGAGCCTGTTTGGTAACAAAATAAGAAAAGAGTAATGATTCATAATTTTAAATTTGGAACTCTAACAATGACTCTAATAATGTGGCATGGACAAAAAAAAAACACATATATCAAACCATTCATGAGTGAGGCCCACTTGCACATAAGTAGAGCTCTCATTAGAGCTCTATTTTTAGTGTTCTTAAACATTTACGATAAGAAAATGTGACTTCTTAAAGGTTGAAATAATGGCTTGTTTTTTTATTTTTTTTATTTATTACGAAAATAATATAAAAAAAATAAAGAAGTAATGTTATATATTTTAGAGGTGGCTTATTGTTTTTGTCTTTTTTTTTATGTATTACAAAAAAAAAAACCATATAAAAAAATAGATGGGTGACATAACTCAAATAAATCAATAAATTACTTTTAAGTCAGGTTGCCAAAAGGGTGTTAATAAGCGGCTTATTTAAAATGTCTCCAATGGAGGCCTAAATGATTATGCTTTTTCACAATTTTATTTGGATAAATAACAATTAAGATAGAACACGTCTCTTTTTACTTTCTACATTTTGTATTTTGATAGATAATTTTAAATATTAGAAAAAATTATATATAATTATTTTTATTTTTATTTTTTTAAATTTCAAAGTAGTGGGTAAGTTATAAATTTATAATGTTGATATTACAAATGTCATAATTAAGTCATTTATAATTAAAAAAAATATAATGAGTCATAATCAAACACTATTTAAGACATAACTAAAGATTTTTTCGATAATAATTAAAATAATACTAATTTCAAAAAATCATAACCAATATCTCAATAAATTATAATTAAAATCTTTATAAAAAAAAGAAAAATTAGTGAAACATCCCTCTCTAATTTTATGTACAATGAGAGATTCAAGATATATATATTTTTTTATTAACTAAGGTCCCTTTTCACAGAGAAAATTTGACTTTGAAAAATTTTGTCCGACTTAGAGAAATTTTGACCCCAACTCAGAAAAATTTCACAATTTCTCTATGATCAGAAAAATTTCTCTGAGTTGAAGCGAAATTTTTCTGAATCAGTCAAAATTTCTTTATAGAAATATTGAGAAATCTTAACTCCTATGAAAATATTATATTTATCTTATAAAATCTTAATATCAAGATTTTAAAAAACATTGTCAAAAAAAAAAAACACATAATTAAATATATGATACACACTTTTCATGAGGGGTTTATTATAGAATTTACCGTGATAAATAACGAGAAGCTTTCTTTATTTTTTTAAATAATATTATATACATCAATTAGTGTATTAATTGATATATTAATGAATAATGTGATATAATTTTAAAGATTTTAAATCTTTATAATTTATATAATAGATGAGATTATAATTTTAAAATGATAATATAATAACTATATTAATACATTAATTAATATATCAATTATTACATGTAACAATATCGATATTTTTTCAATAGTGCTACATGCATCAATTAGTGTACTAACTAATGTATCAACACTAATTGTGACATTATTATTAACCTCACTCATTACACAAATTACAACTATCAAAAGAAAAATATTATAAGCTCCAAATTTTCTACTAAATAATTAACCAAATATCTCATATGGGTGTGGCCCCACACCCATAGTCATTTATTTAGTAAAAAATTTAGTATCCCCAATATTACTCACATCAAAAAAATTTTAAATTATACCATATTATCAATTAATATATCAATTAATATATTAATAAATACATATGGCATTATTCATAATTTTTTTTACCAAATCCTCCCATTTAGAATAATGTCATGGTCACGGGTCCAATGAGAACAGGGAAACGATAAAGAAAGTACGGAAATGCTTAAAAAAAAGTCTCACCCACCCACCCATCCAGCTACTAAGGACAAGGGAATACAGCTGTGTTTTAAAGTTGCTGTGCCTGTCATGGGGTTGATATAAATTACACTGAAATCTTTTGAGATTTGGTTGGATTATGTCTCAATTTTTTAAGGTGTGTTTGATTGGACGGATTGGATAAGGAGAATTAGAATTTATTGGATTTGAGTTTTGAAACTGTTAATCTCCTGAATTATTTGGTCAGATTGGATATGTATTCTGTGTTTGTTTTGTTTTTTCATGAGATTAGATGTCTGAAAATGACTATTTTTAGTGAATCCAACGTTTGGTTGGACGGACTGGATAGGATAAATGAACAAAAGACTATTTTATCATTTTCAATTGTTTACTAAGTAATAGCAATATTAAACATATCTTTAATATTTTAATTATTTTTAATTAAATAAATTTTTTTTTTAAATAAATAAATAAAATATCAATAAAATTTGTTTTAAATCATTACTGTATAACAAATCATTATTTTTTTTACATGCAAAACTTTACTGTGTTTGTTTATTTACACAATTAAATAAATTTATTTTTTTACACAATTAAATAAATAAATAACCACTAAATTTGATTTAATAAAATACTGTATAACCTGTATAAAAAATTTATATTATTTTTTTAATTAAAATTTTAAATAAAACACCTATTACAATTTAAATAATGAAATTAAATAAATTATAAACAAAATTTTAAAATAAAACATCAATAAAATATCTATAAAAAATTATTTTAAAAAATTAAATAAATAAAACATCAATAAAAAGTTAAATAAAATTATTTTATTTTTAAATTGAGACATTTAAATTTTATTGAATTTTATTAAATATAATACATAATTAAATAGTAGAGGGTCAAAATGGTCATTTTCGCATATAATCCAAATTATCTTCACTTGTTGAAATTTGTAGCAATTTACAAGTTGGAATCAAGCTGATTCCTTATCTTCACTTGTTGAAATTTGTAGCAATTTACAAGTTGGAATCAAGCTGATTCCTTATCTTCACTTGTTGAAATTTGTAGCAATTTACAAGTTGGAATCAAGCTGATTCCTTATCTTCACTTGTTGAAATTTGTAGCAATTTACAAGTTGGAATCAAGCTGATTCCTTATCTTCACTTGTTGAAATTTGTAGCAATTTACAAGTTGGAATCAAGCTGATTCCTTATCTTCACTTGTTGAAATTTGTAGCAATTTACAAGTTGGAATCAAGCTGATTCCTTATCTTCACTTGTTGAAATTTGTAGCAATTTACAAGTTGGAATCAAGCTGATTCCTTATCTTCACTTGTTGAAATTTGTAGCAATTTACAAGTTGGAATCAAGCTGATTCCTTATCTTCACTTGTTGAAATTTGTAGCAATTTACAAGTTGGAATCAAGCTGATTCCTTATCTTCACTTGTTGAAATTTGTAGCAATTTACAAGTTGGAATCAAGCTGATTCCTTATCTTCACTTGTTGAAATTTGTAGCAATTTACAAGTTGGAATCAAGCTGATTCCTTATCTTCACTTGTTGAAATTTGTAGCAATTTACAAGTTGGAATCAAGCTGATTCCTTATCTTCACTTGTTGAAATTTGTAGCAATTTACAAGTTGGAATCAAGCTGATTCCTTATCTTCACTTGTTGAAATTTGTAGCAATTTACAAGTTGGAATCAAGCTGATTCCTTATCTTCACTTGTTGAAATTTGTAGCAATTTACAAGTTGGAATCAAGCTGATTCCTTATCTTCACTTGTTGAAATTTGTAGCAATTTACAAGTTGGAATCAAGCTGATTCCTTATCTTCACTTGTTG